CTAGAAATTCATATCTATCCTGTGACTCAGGGGCGCTGGTACCAGTGTGGCGTGGTCGAGAATATATACTCCTATCCGGGTTCGATCCTCTGGAATCGCTAGTGAGGTATATGTCAGGTCAGAAATGCAATCCACTCTGAGTGATAATACCTAATTAGAAACAAGGTTATACGAAGATCAATGATGAGTCCATGAGGAAATTCAATCATTAGTCTTTCATATTATGTGACCTAGTATGATTGGAACTCTTAATCAAGATTTATTGATGGTCTTGTAACATACTTTAGATTAATATACTTGTGATACGCCGTCGAAATCATTCTTATTTGACATTATTTGAACTCGTGGCTTTAACCCCATCGAATGAGTCATAATGTCTCTAGTTCCAAACTTTTAATTTTTCCCATAAAGTTTTGTATTACTAAACATTCATTCCACTTCCCTTTGATAATCGATTTTCTTCTCGGATTTGTTGTCAATAGCTTATTGCATCCATCCAGCCATCCGGACCAGGCTTGACACCGCTCAGTCTCTCATACTCCACCTCTCACTTGCGCCCCAATGTGCCTCTGACAGGCTCTACCACAGAATCTTTGGATCAGCGCCACAGCCAACAAGCCAGTGATGGTTTATGCTCCGACTTCGAACGAGAGGCTGAAACATACGATCCGCTACCATCAGTCCCGGTGTCTGAATCTTCGTTATTACCTTCGTCTTTGTCCTCTCCTTCCAAGTCTACGACTTTTTTGCGTCTTTTGGTCATCAAGAATTATTTAACTAAGGCACGTCGTTTGCTAACGCGTGTTCGCTTCGAGATGAGCCAGGCCTTGGCTGTCGCGTCATTCGAGTCCAGTTATGGGGACAAAGCCCTAATTAGAGAACCAAATCCACTTCAGCAAGATTCTGTGGCTTACGGCGAAACTGTATTTGCATCCGATACCAAGGAGGCTCGCATCGCTCAGCGCCGCGGTCAACCAACTGGTTATAGAATAGATGAATTAGAGTCAACCTTGGATAAGATTACTGCCAGATCCAGAGAAGGTGGGCTTTTCATGGAGCTAAGTGAGGCTACGCGTTGCTCGTTTGTGGCCTTGGTGCTTATTGGTGAGTAGATAATATAATCAGATAATGCACTTTGGTGATCGAGAAGGGATTTTGGTCTTAATTAAAGAGAGGCTCATTTTCAAATTTAATTGAAACCTTGCAGATGTATCTGTGCCACTCAATTTTCATATCGCATTGATCACTATTTAGAAAATGGTATTATTTTTTCATTGATTTTTTCCATATTCTCCCTTAGGGCTGTTATTTTTTTAGGGCATACCGCAGTTTCAATGGTCTTTTGAAAGCGCTAGCGCTGAAAGTGCTTGTTATAGCAAATGCAAGACTCACAGCCTTAGAATTAGCTTTCAGCGTAAGTTGGCCTCTTAGAAATAGTTTGGTATAATTTTTAAAAACTTTCTCGTGTTGCCAGAAATACTTTGATGTTCGCACCTTCTTCGAAGTCATATAAATAGAAGTTATGAGAGCTTTCGTAATCAGATCGTGGACTTGGTACATTCCCAGCCTTGCCATTCATGGCGCCCTGCGCAGCCCAACATACTTCACACTAAGGAAGTCCTTTGGTTTTGAAAGAGATCAATTTACGAATTCCTTCCAAACAACTTTTTCTTTGAAGTGGAAACTCGAGTCACATTAAATAACCAAAGATTATTTGAAATTCATCTTTTATCTATTACTAGGAAAAAATATAAAGAGACGAAAGAATAACAAGGCTGTCGATATCTTTTTTGCGAGTAACCTAATGAATAGGGGATTGAAAGGGGGTAGAATTAGCTGAAATTTCGAGTATGCTTACTCAAACTCGTAATGAACCAGGAAAAGACAGAATCATCAAAAAGGAGACTCATGGATTATGAATCTATCTCAAGTT